GGGGAAAGTGGTGGGGAGACACGCAAGAGGAGCGAGGCGCAAGTGGGATCTGTAGGACGAGGTACCTGACACTCCACGTTTTACGGGACTTCCTGAACCTCAAATATACAGTCAGGTTTTTTTTAGTAATAACCCCATGAGCTTCTCTTTTGGGTCAGTTGTTTTACAAATACTATAGAACTACACTGGCAATTTTCAACCTTTTTCATCTCAAGCCACATACAAACTAGTTACTAAAATTATGCAGTATACCAAAAAACATATTTTGCTGATCTGACAAAAATAGGTATACTTTTGATTGATTAACAAAAAAATAATAATAGTAATTACCAACCATTTTTGCTTCAAAGCGACTTTTTGAAAACTTTGCTGCTCCCATGGCTGGTGTGGCTAGTGGATTGAGCACTGGTTTATGAACTGGGACGTCGTCAGTTTGAGTCCTGGCTGGAGCACATGCCTGGGTTGTGAGTCAGGTCTCTGGTTGGGGGTATGAAAGATGCAACTAATCAATTTTTGTCTTGCACATCAATGTCTCTCTCTTCCTTCCTTGCCCTCTCTCTAAAAATAAATAAAATCTTTAAAAAAGCATTTTTAAAAATCAGGTGGCTATACTTATATATAAGGATTTCTGGCACCAAGAATGAACCCATCAGATAGAACCTTATTTTGCAACATGACCTGTGTGGTTTTGCAACTCTACTGTATGACCTAGATATTCATGATTCAACCCAGCATTCATGCTGGATGGCTATTGGTGTGTTGCTATTGTCACTTTTTTATTTGAGAAGCTAATGGAAGAGAGGTCAGTGCCCCTGACTAAATAGTCAGGTATTGCCTGTTTTAGACATTTTTTGCAGCACACCAATTGAAAATCACCGAACTACAGTAATACATAATTCATCCTCACATTTCTCCCTTTCATTCATAGAAAATCATCACATAATTGGTAGGGTTGTAGTGGACTACCATGGTCTTCCTCTCAAAAATCCCTCTTGAACAATCATTGGGCAGTAAAATGACTGTGGCACTCCTTGATCACCCCACCTGCCAGAACCCTCTTTCCTCAGAGGAAAGAGGACAGTGATGTCCTGCCTACCCTCTGGTGCTGCCCTTGGTGCTCACAGAGAGTCTTCTCCCAGCTGCTGTGCTGGGGATCCTGTGACCTTTATCTTAACACAGACTAAGAGCTGGTTTGGTCAATTGATACCAACAGCAAATGCCTGCAGGATGCTCGGAGTTGTATTATTATTTGTCTTGAATCTCATATATTGGATTGCCTTGTTCTTTTCTGGCCCTCCCTTACCTACAAACTCAAAGTGGCTTATAATGGGTCACAATGAATGGGGCCGAGTCCCTGCCTGGGGAGGAGCTGCCTTGGGTAAACAAGGCTCATCACCGATACTGTGCTGTGAGCTCTGGTCTTCGGTTTTTGTATTTTCCTCCTGTCACCATGCACATGTGCACACACAGCCCCCATGTCACTTTCATTCCCTGCATTTAGATTTTGGAAATAACATCTTACTCCTAAGCGAATTTAACAGAGATACATAGTCCAAATTTCCAGGAAAAACGAAGTATTTGGGAGGAATATTTGGTCCCTTTCCCTTAGGATCAACTCCCCTCATTCTTCCCACTTCCTTACAACATATATTTACTCTGGTGTAACCGGCTGGTCTCTGCTGGGAATCCAGAGAGGCTCATACTGTCCCACTGCCGCAGACAAGGATTTCATCATTTTGAAGCCCTGTGTGTGTTCTGCATGTAGGAAGTCGATTAGAAATGCCAGGCGTTCCTTTCCTAGCACTTCTCCCACAGTCTCTCTGGTGCGTCATGAAGGAGTTCTGTGGGGCAGAGGGGATGTTCATTAGAACAGCACCTTGTCTCGCTGGCCACATTATTTACAGGGAATAATACTCAAAGTAGCACTCCAAATTATAAAAGCTAATACTGCCTCCTACCTCTGCTTTTGTGGCAGTAAATCACATGCTTGCTATTTACCCTCGCCATTCTTGTCATCATTCTTCTGCATCACTTTTGTATTAAACTGTAGCTTCTAGAGAGTGGGGACCGCCCATCTGTTGCCCCTCTCCTCGCTACCAAAGCAGCTGTTGCCCAGTAGGCTCTCAGTCCATGTTTCTTGAATTTAATTTAATTATGGTAGAGCTCTAATAGCTGCGCATGGCTACCTGTCCTCTAATACTCATATACGGGGCTTAGATATTGGTGATTCTTGATGTTCTCACCTCATTCCTTCTCTTACTTTGCACTATCTTTTTACATGTAATCCACTCCCATGGCCCTAACTGCCAAGTTTGAAGTTGATGATGGTTTTTAAATAATCTCTAGTCCAGCTTGTTCTCCTGGGCTTCAAATTCATCTCATTTGGTTGTCCAGCAGATACCAGAGAAACAACATATCAACCCTGAACCTTCTCTTTAGTAACGAACTAGAGAAATGATCTCTGAAAGTACAGTCTCGCTGAACCTTGTCTTTGACATATTCCCTCTGATGGTGAACGAGGGCACCATCTAAAGGGCCAGCTTTTCAATCCTCTTCCTTCCTTCACCTGTTCATACAGTAGACATTTATTGAGCAATCTGTAAATCGAAACACCAAGCCAAGACTCAGTGGTCATAAGATACATTGTCCCTCTCTGGAAAAAGCTTAAATCCATTACAGATCATAAAGAATATATACAAACAGCCATGCTATCATGTAAGATATGTTTACTGATTACTATGGCATTTCAAAGTCAGTCACCGATATCTAGTCCTTCTTTATCCCCTTTCCTGCAGATGCATAAATCCCAAATAACTGTATTTGATATATTCACATGCATTCCAGAGAAAGGGTTTATTAGATTTTGCATATGATCATTACCAAAGTTTCCTCATTGCCTTTTATTCTCTCTACCACTTTATTTTGGGACAGCGGTACATCTTACTGTATCAGCCTTGCTATTACCACCTCGTCCTCTCCAGTGTGCACTTGGCCTTAACTCTTCAGCAGCCATCCATTCCTATTAATTTCACCCTTTCTCCTTAATGTCTCTTGTGTTTGTCCTAACATGCTCAGTGTCATGCTTTGTCTGCAGTATTTAACCAGGTTCTTTCTCTGTCTTCATTGTGAACCTGGCCAGGCAAAACTGTCTTCACCGTTGCCAGGGAAGATTTTTAAAACCCAGATCAAATTTTGTCATTTCTCTTGCTGAAATAATTCAACAGTTCCCCGTGATGTTCAGGATAAAATCAAAAGTTCTCAGCATGCTAAACTAGGCCCTGTGCGGTCTGCCTTCCACCTACTTTTTCAGGCTCTTGTAGCACCACTGTCTTCCCTTGCTTTTTCCCTCCCAACCAACTGTGTAGTTAATAGTGTGAACTCTGGACTCGATTCTCTGAGTTCAAATCCGACCTCTGCCACTTACTAGCTACATAACTTTGGAACAAAGGTTCCAAGTTATGGAACAGTCTGTCTGTCTTATTTTTTTATCTGTAAAATAAGGGGCACAGTAGTTTCTATTTCATATAGTGATTTGTTGGACTCAAAGATCTAACATATGTTACATGCTAATAGTGGCCTGGTTCATAGTAAATCATTAATATATGTTTGGGTGTCGTGTCTTGCCATTATTGTTGTTAATCCACTTGAAGTTTGCATGTGCTCTTTCCTGTGTTTGGAGGCACCCACACCACCTTCTCCTGACTTGCTTCTACTGGTTCCCGAGCTTCAGCTGGGGTGCCAGCCCCTCAGGGCAGCTGGTTCTTTTAGGCACCGATGCCTGAAGGAAGGTGCACAGACAGCCGAGCTGGCTGGAGTCAGTGGAAGTCAGTAGATCAGGCCGTGGAAGAGTGATGCACACGGAGAGCCTTCCATTTCAGGATGAGCGTGTTTGCTCAGTAAACAAATGAACCTTCTTCATGATTAGGGCAAGCTCTGAAAATGCGTGAGGGAAAATGAGACCCTTTGACTAATAGCTCCTTCAAAACCCTTCTTAAATATTCTTTGCCAAAAGTCAGCCTTGTGGCCGTCAGTGGCGCAGATCACACACGTGTGTATGATTGAGAAATGCCTGGCGTTTAAAGGAGTATGTATATTCCGAAGACCAGAGAGCTTTGTAAAGCGCTCCCAGGTCACTGATTCTTAAATAGAGACCCAGATGGAGGTGGGGGGGATGCAGGGGCAGGCTGGGGGAGGCCACATGCACCCCCACCATCCTGAGAGTCATTGCACTCACAGTACAATGTCTCATTGAGAGACATTGCAATCAGAGGTACAGTTTGCAGCGGTGAGGTGCACACACAAAGGATAAGAAGTCCAAGAAAGGCAGTTGAGCGCTGTGAGCAGATCAGGGTCCACTTGCCTTACTTACAGAGGAGGGGTCTGGCCCGAGGTTTTATGGGATGGGCTCTTCCTACACACCAGGCATCTCTGCAGACCTCATGTTGTGCCCCCAAGACCTCTGCTTAACAACGTGCTTTTCTGGCATACGAGGTCTTTTTTTTCTTTTTCTTTTTTGGTACTAAGAGCTTTATAACAGATTTCATGACAGACCCACTGTAATATGAAAAATGAAAAAATAAACGTGGACAAGAAGAATAGGAGCACTTGTCAGGGTGACATGGAAGTGGCTGGTAGTATGAACAAGTACTGAGCAGAGCCAGAATGATTTAGCATAATTTAGTCATATCATCCTTAAAAAGGAGTACACTTAATTAAGCCACTGTATTCTGAGTTGACTTTCTGTGCTTGTAATTTTTCCAAGAACAAAGTGAACCCATTCGATTTAATTTGGAGGGAGAAGTACTGTACATGTTACAGAAAGCTTAGGAATTAACTCAGAAATTGCTCTTCCAGTTCTGACGTTCAGTCCACATAGTAACAGTTCTTTCTAATTGCTTCTTCTCTGGGTAATATGTGCATAGGTCCAGAGACCAACCTGGGCTGTGGCTGGTTCAGTATTTTTATTATATAAAGTGACATTTACTGGTTTTTTTCCTTAGTAAGGCCTGCATTTTCTGCAAAGATTGCTCCAGAGTGGCTCGTCATGCGAAGGACCTCGCTGTTTAATTTTAGGCTTCGACTTTTCATGTACATTACAAGTTGAGAAGGTCATGAGCGCCAGCTGTCACTCTCTGAAAGTGAAAACTGCCATCGATCACAAAGACAAGAAGTAATTTTCCTGTCATCACAAGATGACTCAGGTCAGCTGCTTTCCGCTACTACTGCAGTTTAAATAATATGAGGGTTTGGGGCACTGTGTGTATTCAGGGAACCTAACTAGTCCCAACTCCTGTAATTTTATGGCAATGATATAAAGTAAATTGGGACCGACTCATAGATAGAGAGCAGGCTGAGAGACTCTGGGGGTGTGGGTGGGGGGTGGAGGGATGGAGCAAAAAGGGAAAAGGACTCATGGACACGGACAACAGTGTGGGGATTGGGGAGGGGGAGGGAGAGGAGGGTGTAAGGGGGAATAATTGTTAATGGAAAAAACACCATAAAAAATTAAATATTAAAAAATAAATAGTTAGAATTTATTTTTGCACTAGATGGAAAAAAGAATTGGAGAATAGTTGTACAGAGTAAGTTCAAATTACAACAATGTACTGGATTTAGGATTTTTAGAGGCGCAAAATACTTTCCTAGGAACTAAAAAGCATTGTAAAATGACAGTTTTTATTATACAAAAGGTTAAAGTATAATTTGTCCTTGAAAGTAATATGTAGATGTTAAGTTTAAAGAATCGCATATTAAAAACTAAAAGAACCCTATGTATTTTATGATTAAGTATGTGTAAATTCTTCAAACTCTCCTAACTTGTATTTTTACTCTAGAATTGTGGTTTAAGTACATCTTTAAAATTTAAAGCAGTTTTGTGCTCTCATTTTTAATACTGCGTCTGCTGTGGCATTTATAATAGGAGAACAATTGATGAGATGTATATTTGATTTTAGTTATAAAACTGTGACTACTGCATACCTAGGGCATATCTCCAAAACAGGGAATCGGGAACTGCAAAGCACACTAGGGGAGCTTGTCTGAGCCCCACTTTCCTCTGAGTGACCATTGGCTCCCAGCAGCGTATTTATGGTTTATAACCTAAGACTCGAGGACCAGTTTGTCTGCAGTAAAGCAGCGTGTCTCACCGAGGATGCCAGGGAAACAGCTCACGGATGCATTGGCTTGTCCGCTAATTACTGAGTGACTGCTCTGTGTCCGATGCCTGCCACCAGCAGCTTCTGATCTAGTTGGGAACATATACAGAGCTGAGAGTTCAAGGCGGTACCAGGAGACATGCCCTAGGAGTGACAGAGATAATACGTAGGCAGTATACAGAAATACTGTCAGAGATTATTTTCATCTGTAGTTTTCCATGAAGTCTTTATGGGGGAGGGAGAAGCTGTGCTAGACTTCGAAGGCCAGGTAAGATTTTGGAGAGGCTAGGTGACGGGAGAGAATTTCAGATGAGAGTGAACAGCCTGCTGGCTTCAGCAGAGACCTCAGGGAGGAGCTGTATAGGGACCCACTCAGGCAAGGTGAGTGGGTTCTTTGGGTGGAGTATTTGAGTCACTTTAGTTACAGGATATGAAGCTGGCAAGGTAGACCGGGACCAGGTCATGGAGGGTTTTGAATGACAGATTGAGGGGTGCAAACTTTATCCCATAGATAGTAGAGATCTCTTGAAGGTTTTTCAACAAGAAAGTGTTATCATCGAATAGACATTGAGGAAAATTATCCAGCATGAAAGAGATTCTAAACTGCTTTTGTTGGGTTCATGGAGGGAAAATGATAAGTTACAGCCATCAAGCCAGGAATAACGCGTATGGCTGTGGTCTCTTCGGGCACCTTTTACTACCCAAGGAAGTGAGTAGTGATGGAGAAGGACACGCGCAGCATGGATGCACCAGAGGTGGCGAATGTGGGGGGTGGGAAGTAGGCCAAGGGGACAGAGGTGCCAACCAGGAAGCTGTAATAACAGCTCAGATGCTAGGTTGTGGCGATACAGAAAGAAAGATGGAGAGGTGACGACGAAGATGGCAGCGGACCACAACAACTCTGACCTCCTCAGAGGCCGGCATTGACTCCTGTGACCCTGCGAAGCTCTGTGTTCTGTTGCCGGAGACCTCCCGCAGAGTCCCTTCAGCTGCGTGCAGCAGGTCCTCCGGGGTTGAATTTTCATTCCTTCCAGGGTGTCATAATTTTAACATACTCTGTTTTCTTTTAAAGTCAGTGCTTAGGTGACTTGTTGAAGAAATCTTCACCTACTCGGAAGTCATGTCGTTGTTCTCTCTTTTCCCAGAAAGGGGCTGTTGTATTACTTGACAAGAGGTTTTAATTCACAAACATAGTTGATAGGTATGTGGAGATCCATATTTAAAAAACAAGTGTGTTTTCCACTGAGTCAAGGAAACGATGGAGGCCTGACTGTAGAGAAAAACCATGGTGCAGAGACTTGGGATATGATGTAAGAGAAATTTGCATCACAAACAAGAGAGAAGTCCCTCCAGTGATAGTGCCTTGGTAACAGCGCCCTCCGCCCCAGTCTCCGTGTGAACTTCCAGGCAGGACATGCGCCATGGCTGACTCCTCCCCGGGGACAAGGAGCCACTGCAGGAGACAAAATGAGGCCGTCGCAGGGTTTTCCTAGGTCTTTGGGGGTCAAGTCCATCTCCTTGATGAGACACTGGGAAAATCTTTTCTCCGGAAGCCTTTCGGCTCTTCTGACAATCTTTAGTATTTATAGATGGTGTGTGTGTGTGTGTGTGTGTGTGTGTGTGTAGCTTTATAGTGATCGTTAAAGATGTTTTCATTGTGTTGCATTCACATCAGATATCAGAGTTGCCTTTGAAATCGTGATGATTGGATGTGGTTCTCAATGTGCACCCATCTATTCCCATTTCTTGCCCAGAAACACGGCATTAAGAAAGACCAAAAGGTGGGAAGAATAACTAACGGAGTCAAGGAAACTTCGGGGGTGATGGCTGTGTTCACCATCTTAATTGTCTTCACGGTTTCCCAGTTGTGTACATTTATGAAAACTTATCAAATCGCACACTTTAAATATGTGCACTTTATTTGTCAGTTATACCTAAATAAAACTGTTAAAAGTAGAATAAACATTGTTCAGTTAGCAGCAGTTTCATTTTTCATTTATCCATTAAAAACATGGTTAGCCCTATTATATAGAAGCCTAGAGTTAGATACTATCAGCAAAACAAAGGAGTATATGAAATGTTTCTTCAGAAGTTCAGAATTCGGTAGAAGTGCTTATACCACTGTAACATTTTATAAACTATAAAACGTTTCAAGTCTTGTAGAATTTAGGGATTAGGATTGCATTTGTTTGTGAAAATTGGAGGCCACAGGCAGTTTTTTCTTGGTTCACCATCATGAATTAAGTTTTAAAATGTGGGATACAGAACTGTATTCCGTTTTCTCCCTATTTTTAAATAATATACTTACAGGAAATAGAAAATGTTAACATTGATAAAGAGAAAATAGAACAGACTCACAAAGTAACAAGTTACCAGATTCTAATATAATATGATTCGTAGTTTTCACCTTTCATTATGTAGATATTTAACATTTCTTATGATGAGCAATTCATTGCCATTTCCTCCCTTTTTTGGCTTAAAATGCCCATTCTGTCTGTCCATCAAGGGCAGTCACTCAGGAACCTAGCGAATGCTTCCAGGAACCCAGGGGCACTTGGAGAGCCACACAGTCAGTCATAAATCTTCTGCCTAAAAGTAATACACATTTTTATATCACATTTAATGGCCAAAGCAAGCCACATGGCTTTGTCTGAGTCAGGCTGGGTGGAGCGTGCCAAAACAGGAAAGCCCGACATCTGTGTCTTACTGACTTCTGTTGTTAGAAGCAGCGCTTTCTGATGTCCTTCTCCTCGTACCTCTGTCCGTGGGAAACACACCAAGCCACTGACTGCACCTGTTAGATTCCTGTCACTTTCTCCCCTTCCTGCTATACTCAAAGGCACGAAGGCTAGACATAAAACAACACAAAAGCAACACACTAAGTGTAAGAAATACAGCTGGTTAGAAAGGACTCCCATGGTGGTAAGAGCGGAACCCCAGCCAGCTGGGGGGATGTATTGACTCTCTGAGCTGGGAAGGGTAGGGAGGGGCTCCCAGGACTGGGAGAGCTAGTCCCAGGTGCTGGAAGCAGGACACTACGCTGCCACAGTTATTTTTCCCTCTCCGTTTGCCTCTTTTCTGTTTGCTTCTCTTGACTTCATTTTCTTCTACCCCAAAACAGGCATTTTTCACGTGGAAGAAAGATGGTCACTGGCAGCCTGACCCTTACATCTTTCCCAGTGGTGCCAGAGGAAAGGCCAACATTTGTTTAGCTCTACACTGAGCTATCTTGAGGAAGGACTCTGATTGGCTCAGCTTTCATCACCTGCTGACCACTGAACCAATCAAAGACTGTGTCCAGGAATATGGAATACCATGATTGGCCAGGGCCATGTCACATGCCCACCCAGGGAGGGCAAGATACAGATTGTGAAAAGGCAGAAGGTGAACTTGATTGAACAAGTAAGGACAGTAGGTACTCCAGACTACTTAGAGTTAGGTATACCTAGAGTGATCTTTGAAAATTGCAAATCCAATCCTGTTGCTCTCCAACTCACCTACCAACTTAAAACCTCTTTCTACTGCACTTAAACTCCAAATTGGGTCTCCAGATTTTCAGAGCATCACTTTATGTGACTTCTTATTTTTCAAATTATTTTCCCTTCTCGCATGACTGACCAACAAGGCATTGGCTACAAGGGCCTAGAATTTGACTACACATAGATCAGAAAGCTGGCTAAACCAAACCCCATCTCCCCAGCTTCTGCTGGAACCCTGCACTTTTATTTCGGTATGAATCTTACTAGCTTCATTACATTACTGAATTCACAAGGAATTGGCTTATATTTATATAATTCTCATGGAAAATATTGCAGGAAATTTAAATCTGTGGAGTATCAAAAATGTCACATTGGATTGTCCTAGCTACAAGTCATTTTCATGGTCAGCTATTTATTCTGCAGTGTATCATCCTAACTATAAAATATAATAAAAGCAAAATGGATTTATATTGTTCCCACATTTTAAAATAGCTCTTTGAAGTTACTTCTTTGTGGTAGAGGCCAGGCAATTTGGGAGAGGACTAGAGTAATCTCTGAGGAGTGTTCGTTCAGTCAGATACTACAGATTCTGAGTTTATAGTTAGAGCCAGACAGAAGGAAATTGAATTTTTGTTGATTGCCACTTAACATTTGCAAGTACAATAAAGTAAGATGTATTTGTTCTAGGGTTCTTGAAATTGTATCACCTGATTGATTCCTTAAAGAGAAAAAAATTTAAACAGACTTAAGTCTCCTGAGATTTGATTTAAAAGAAAAGCACTCAGTGTTTTGGTTTCTCTGGTGTGTAGGCAGTTAGAGCCAGCCATATGTTTACTTTGTAAATTCTAGTTGAGGGTGCAATATAAGCTGTTTCAATTTGGGTGGAAGTTTTAACAGGCTTCACAAATGAGATTTGTACTCTGTTAGGAGTTTGCCAGATTTTTTGCTGGGACTGTGGGCTGGTCCATGGTAATTTAACTTACTGCTAATTTGTTTTAAGAGTAAATCCTGAAAGGCTCTTTCTTGCAGTAGCAGGAATGATGAAATTAGGATACAGTTGTTCCCTCTAACCCCAGTGGATGCCTCGAACTGCTGATAATACCAAACACTGTATGTACAATGTTTTTTCCTATACAGATAGTTTACATATTTATATATGTAATATATGTGCATAAATATATACACATATATGTACATATAAAGATTAATGTATAAACTAGGCACAAGAGATTAATAACAATAATAATGGAATGTAAGTTATAACAATATATTGTAACAATAGTTATGTGAATGTGGCCTTTCTCTCTCTTAAAATATCTTCTTGCACTGGGCTCACCTTCTTCTTGTGACCATGTGAGATACTACCATACCTTCATCATGAGATGAAGGGAGGTGGGGATGCTGGACCAAGGGATGTTTCATGTCCTGGGCAGGATGTGGAGGGATGGCAACAGATTTCATCACACTACTCAAAATGGTGCATAATTTAAAACTTAAGAACTTGATTTCTGGAAATTTCCATTTTAATATTTTCAGACCATCACTGACCACGGGTAACGTGAATCTCAGAAAGCAAAACTGTATGTGGAGAGACTGCTATGTTAGCATTTGATGATAATTGTAGTAATGACTGTTTTAAGCAAGAGTCAGCAATGGATCGGATGCTGCAATTGGTGAGAAACAGGATATTTCCATAGTCTCAAGAGGTGTGCATGGGAAGCAACAGGAGCACCAGGGAGGGGCAGGACTGAACTCGCCCATCTGCACCCGTCGGGCCAGATGGATTCTCGTATGATTGGACTGACTTTCATACTGATTTGTAAAGAGCCTCAGGCTGAGCACCTAGCCACTTCCCTGGGCTCCCCCTCACTCACGGGCCACAGGAGAATAATGAAAAGATTAAGCCTCCAAGAGCAGAGGCCTCCGAGACCTGCTCTTGGACTTCTCCTGTTCCTCCTGATCGCCCTTGTCCATGTCCATGGAAATCGGGGAAGGCTTTCTGGTGATGCCTGTGCCAGGAATAAACAGAAGGTAGCGGGACAGACACAGCGTCTGTGGGGGTCCCCGGCTGCTGGGGAGCAAGTGGCACCAGAGGAGCCGTGGATGCTGGCGGTGGGTGGTGAGGAATGGCCCCTAGAGGCAAGTTGAGGCCAGATCAGAAAGAGACTTGTATGCCCTCCTAAGGTACCTGAACTTGATCAGACACGTTGAGGAATGCCTTTGAAGAAGTGTGAGATAGGAAGCAATACAATTAGATTTATGTTGTATAAAAATAGTTGTGGCAAAATTGAAGAAAGGGATTGAAGGGCCAAAAAAAGCACCTATTTATGGGCTGCTGAAGTAGTTTAGGCAAGAAATAAGTACCTTTACTAAAATAGAATCAGTACAAATATAGAAAATGGTTGGGTTCCAGGGACATTAGAAAGGTAGAGTCAATAGGGCCTCGTGGCTGACTGCAGTGGCGAGCGGCGTTTTATAAATTTTTAAAATCTGTTTGGCACCAGAGCGATTTTATCCAAGTGAACCATTGGTATCCACTTCCCAAACAGAGACTTGCTCATGCACGAGAAATCAGAATGACTAGCTCATCCCCAAACCGTTATTTTCTGAAGATTTGCAGGTAAAAATTTTGCATTTTCTAGTCTTTTGACACCTGTGGGGAGACGACAGGGAAGGTTTTTCTCTCGTCACGTGTAAGCTCAGCACAGCCTCTGGCAGCTGTAGGTTCTGCCTCCTCCTTCACCACCCCGCGGTGGCCTTGTCTCCCCAGGATGGACCATGAAGCCGCGCAGCTGGAGAAGCAGCACGTGCACGACGTGTATGAGAGCACCGCCCCCTACTTCAGCGACCTGCAGAGCAAAGCCTGGCCTCGCGTCCGCCAGTTCCTGCAGGAGCAGAAACCAGGCAGCCTCATCGCTGACATAGGTAACCCCGGCCTGCGGCGCCGTGTGAAATACATTCCATCGTGCCTTTCCTGTTCAGGTTCAGTGTCCCTTTTTGTTCAAGCCAACAGTCTGAAACAGAGCCCTTGGCATGCCGGTACCCAGCTCGTTCTCTTTCTAGCAGAAATTCACACGATCAAATCTGAAAGTACGTCCTCAGATCTGCATTTAGACAAGGGCGATCTTTTCAGAGCTTTTGTCCGCACCCTTCAACAAAATCGACCTGACGTGGATTGAATAAATCAGGACTGAAATGACTGCTTGTGAAACTATTTTAAACTTAGAGACATTCACGTTTGTAAATACAAGGTCTGGTGGCTGACCTCGAGTGGCTTTGATGTCTTTCATGGAAGATCCAGAAATTATAGATTTCCTATAAAGTCTTATAATCTCATGGATTTTTTCCCCTTAACTACTCTGTGGGTGTTTCATTATTAGAGCTGATCTTTAGGTAGATCGGGTCGTTTTAATCACTGACTTGCCTGGAAGATTTTGGCTCAGTTTGTTTCTGAACCGAGTGGTGAGCCACAGCCCAGCAGGTCTCAGACCTTGGTCTGAGATTCCCACTTGAGGCCTGCCCACGCAAAACGACTCTATAGCAGTTCTATGAAGATTACACCCACAAGAGTCATAAGTCTGTAGTTACAAACTCTGTCTAACTTGACATTCACTCTACACACTGGTAACGGGAACAGCCATGTATGTGCCCAGGGCATTTGGCTTGTCGAAGACGGTGCAAGCGCTGTGCAGTTTAGGGGAGGGGAGCATTTTATGTAGAAATAAGGAGCCTGAAAATATCTGTCATGCCGGTTTTTTTAAGTAAATCTTGTTTCAGAAAATACAGTGATTTTGGAGCTCTTACCACCTGTGATCTAAGGAAAGTACCAGGATCTGAAAACCAGTTGGTAAGAGGAGGAGCCATCCGGCACACGGCTTTAGGACAGAAGTATGTACATTGGCTACTTTCTCACCCCTCACATCCAACATTCCGAGGGAAGCGCCGATGTGAGTGTAAGAAAATGAAATCCTTAAGGGACCGATGACATCTCCATTATTTTAAAATAATAAAATTAAAAGAATAATAGAACAGTTAAAGAGGGAACATAAGAACAATAAAAGAATAAAATATGCTCTTAGAGACAGAAGGCCTTTCTAGGTATGATATCAAAAAAGTCAGAAATCATAAAAGAAAATGCAGTTGATTGTTATTATTCACAGTATTTGCGTTTTATAGAGTTGCCGTGGACACTGAATCAGTGAATCCTGAGTTGAGCCCCCAGGGGAAATACAGGGTTAGGTCCCTGTGGGCCTCTGCTCACATTTTAGGAAACTGGTCAATATCTAACCTTGTTCCACGTATCTGTTTAGAGACACCGTACTTACTATACATTGTTGGTTCGTTAACAGTGAACTCACAGGCAACAACTATAACTGATGCCCGAACAAAGTGTATTTACAACATGTGCTGTTCGTGAGGCCCATCTCAGTCTTCCTTGCCCTTAGGAACCTTGGACAGCACTTCAGCACGATGCTGAATTTTAAACAGTGAAATCACCAACGAAAAGTACAGAACTGCACAGAACAGGTGTGGTGCAGAATACAAAACAGAAAGAAGTATAAGCATGCAGACAGATGCTTTCTGTTCTCTCCCTTCAGTACCATGAAAGGTTGGCATTTAATGAGGTTTTGCAGAGGACTGGATGGTTGGGTACCAGTGCTTTCTGCAAGCATCAAAAACCTTCTGATTGATTTCCTGCACGTTGATGGGAGTGGGTGACCAGGCTGGGCATTGTTCTGGATTTCCTCATTAGGATGAAGTCTCCCTTCTCTAGCATCTCAGTGTGTGCACTTAGAGAATGGATAACTGCATCGCAGAAAATAGATTTTCATTACTATCCTTAAAATCGGACACCATTAAAAATGAATTTGGGATAAATCATGAGTGCTGGGGTGCTGGAATGTTTCAGGAGATGTTGAGGTTTAAAAAGACCTCAGTTTCCTCATTATTACCAGATGCTCTCTGAACACTTCCTTCTAGTACCATCGTCTGTAAACCTGATTTTATTGGGTTGGCCAAAAAGTCCACATGGTTTTTTTCTGTAAAATAAAAGATACCTTTTTCATTTTCACCAATAGCTTTATTGATTTGGATATTTTGAGTATGTCGGCTGTCTCCTGCTACTGGCCTCTAGTGCATAGAGGCCAGGGGTTCTGCTAAACATCTTCCAATGCATAAGACAGCCCCACAGCAAAGAATTTTGGGGCCAAAATGTCAATAGTCCCAAGATACTTCACAAACACTTTTGACCCATTTGATCAGTCACAGCGCCTTCTCTGTGCTGCACAAATCATTTTCTTGCATTTCAGTTGAATTTTATCTTTCTTGAAATAATAAAGCATAATATGCTGAAAATGTTGCTTATTTTCTTCCATCTTCGATATTAAAGTGGCTACAAAAAAAGTCACCAATTTTAATAGGTTTTTTTAAAAGTGTGTGTTGATATGACAGCTGTCACAATACAATCTAACGAAAGTGTTTCAAATAAAATTAAAGACAACTAAGCACTACCAGAGCTGTCATATGGAAAAAAACCAAATGAACTTTTTGGCTAATCCAATATTAATATTTTTGAAGTAATTTTCCCTTTCATTTCTTTAAATGTAATGTCTGAACCAATAAAAAGAAAGCAATACATTCACAAGACTATTTTTCTTAAAATATGACCATCTCATTAAATCCTGACTTTATAAGAGTCAGGATTTCAATTTTAAAAACACTCTGTGGATTATGTTTTCCCTGTGATTACTTTTAAATATTAAATACTTTTTCTCATAAGCATCCCTAGGAACAGTGGCCATAAGATCTAAAATATTTCTAAAACCCTAATCATTTATACTGAAATAATAACATTGGAAATGTGATTTTTTTATTCGCAAGCCTTCCACTGTCTCAGCTGGCATCAGTGAACCTTAATTATGCTTTAAGTGGCTCATAATTTCAAGCAACACCTATTAAAAAGGAGTTATTAAAAAGTGTGATGTATTTCAGAAGCAGCAAACTAATTATCTTTGAACACTGGTAGATGTATCTTCAAAATGTCAGGCATAAGAATCTTTAGGTCGTTCCAGAAGGCACAAATGTGGGTTCTGCTGATACCTGTAAATATCTCTGGAAAGGAACTGCAGGGCACGTCTGTGCTAGAATATACCAGGCACTACATTGTAGAAGGCTTTGTTTCTGGTTGCTGCTCACTCATATTACAATCCTCTTCGCTGTAACATCAGTGAGAGCTGATTGATCTGAATCTTGGGGCTGTGTAAATGCTGAATTACTTGGGTCTTTGCCACTGGAAAGTGAAAGTCAAAAATGGTCTCTTCAAGAAAAAAATAGTTCTTTCTGAGAGCTGTGTACTTAGTCCTGTGAGACCATTTAAAACCTAGCACTGACAATGGGATGGATGAAAACATGTTTAAATCTTTCTTTTATTCAAAGTAAATTAAAAAACTTTCACAAAGCCTGTTTTATTTATATCCATTTAGAAGTAGTTGGCAGTAGTTTGTTTTATGTGACCAGGAAGCAGTAAGACTCTCTAGAGAGATCACAGGATAAATGCCATAACATAGAGATCTGTACATAATGAAATGCGTATGTGAACGTCACTTACAGGAAGAGACGGGACACTGTCCCTGGGATACTAGGGACCTATCGTTCCTCGCCACGGGCCAGCCAGTATGTTAGCATGTTACATCCTGTGGACATAATGTCCCTCTTCTATATGAAAATATCTAAGAGCTGTAGGAGGCTTTTCTTTTGCTTTTGTGTGTCCTTCCACCCCATCTTGTGTTCTGTCTTGGTTAGTTACTATAAAGTTATTTCTGTCCTTGTCACGTGATAGGCAAACTGACAGTGTCCCGGTCTCCATGAAGGACAGCAGGTGACACAGTTTTTCTCTTACAGGTTGTGGGACTGGAAAGTATCTTAAAGTGAACAGCCAGGTGTATGTCCTGGGCTGTGACTACTGTGGGCCATTGGTAGAGATTGCCCGGAGGAGAGGGTGTGAAGTCATGGTGTGTGACAACCTGAATCTCCCCTTTAGGGACCGGGGCTTCGATGCCATCATCTCCATAGGAGGTAAGGCCGCCGGGTCACACGCTCACTCCGCCATGAGAATAATGGTACGTGGTTGGGGTCATTCTTATAGCCCAATACCCACTCTTTGTGGAAAGGTCTATGCAATTCTTTTTATTTCGTTTTTTAAAATATTGCAACTGAGTGAGTTAGTTGTCTAATCTCAGATGAACTTATGGGGGTACCTATCATTGTTTTAACTAGTTAAGCTGTCAAACTGGTATTGTATTCTTTTTGATGACTCATTCCGATTTCTTTTACTTACGAGTAAGAAAGCAGTAGAACAATTTTATGTATTGAAAAGAATACTTCGTTGTATTGCAGTGTGGCCAGATCTTCCAACCCAGAGCACACCTTTAGAAGTCATATTACCTTTTCTAGGCCATTAGCATGCTCTTTGTTAGCAGAATATTGTGGCACTAACTCCACCTGGAAGGATGCGTCATCCAATCTGCCCCTCGCTGGTATGCAAGTCTCTGGGGAAGACAGCTCCGCCTGGCCCCAGATTGCATTGTTTTTTATAAGGCCTCTCAGCTCTCTGACTGCCAGAGATTGCTCATGAATACGTTTCTCATAGCCTCCCAGACAGTGTACCCATAAAATACACGTGTCAAAAAATTAAAAAAAAAACAGCAAAAATCTATGCCTGAAATTTATACAAGTAAGACTCATTTTACTCAGGACACATATTCCTGACCCTTAATATTTTAGTCATCTTTAAATACGCTTGGGAAACTAGCTATTTAAAGGAATCTTATGCCCAGTTATTTTTCAAGGCAAAAAATCTTCTACAAAGTAGATTATTTGCCCCAATACACTTCAAAAAGTAATCTATTTGAATATAACAAGTTTTATTAAAGCAAGGAGAACCTATATAAAACTGAGTGACCAGATAAAAAACACAGCATGAAACTCTTTGCTCCCTCCTGAAATAGATGAGAAGTGGATTTATTCAGCATTAGGTAGGGACTGCATCTTTGTATAGTGCGGCCTGGATGTCATAACCCTGGACCTAGTTAGGACTGGCAGGAGGTGGTTGCCATGGAAACCTGCTCAGTGTCAGTCCACTTCTTTGCAGTTGAAACTGTTGAGTTCCTTTTGGCTGTCGGCACTGAGACGGGGGATTCCTGTGGAATCAGGCAATACCAGGCGATCCTTAGAATCCTGAGTAGAAAGGAAGTTTTGAGTTGGGTCATTCCACCTACAGACCTGGAAATCGGAGAGAGGTCGGAGAAGAGGACCCCTTGCCCTTCTTTAGTTCACATTGAATTCGGGGTCTCCGAGGCCACCCGCATGCAGGCTGCGCTGTTGAGGGACACACTGGCCTGGTGAGGGACGGTGACCAGCTTTCCCACTTTGGGGAAATGCTCCGCGTGTCCGAGGCCCAGTCCTTCTCCACTTCCAGCTGGAAGTCTCATGCGTTGTCCCAGAGAAAACGGAGAACACAGCTGTCATATTGTGATTAAAAATGTTCCCTTACGTGGAACACAGTCGTTATGAACTGGAGCTATAAATCAATGTGATGGAGTTACTTGCCTGTTGAGTTTCCATTTAGAACTAAGAAATTTTAATAGACCTTCTCCTATGTTCATATACATTTACTTCCCTATATAGAATCCTGTATGCTGATTCTTCTTGCTTATCTTAACAAAAAGAAATATGTTTTTGCTTTCCCGTGTCTCTTAATAATAATGTGAGAGGTAAGCATCACACCTAATTATACATTTCTTCTGTGGTACTGACCGATTACAAAACAACAGTCTTTCTACTTTTAGAACAGTCCAAAAATGAAAAGAATGACTCCACAGAAATTATATAAACACTTGCACCAGTGTATTAAAATGGTGTCAATGTTCACTCTGTGCCAGTGGTTCTCCTCTTGGGACTGTGTTGTTCCTGCCCTCAGGGGACACTTTTCTTGTCACAACCGAGCATGTGTGTGCACACTACTCTCAGCCAGTGGGTGGGCCCCTGCAACAGAGGATGCTCTGCCCCCGACTGTCAGTAATGCTGAGGCTGAGAAACCCACTTTAGGCTAAACTCATGGATTTTGCACATTTACAGTTCAACACAGAAATGCATGCTCCCGGATTAACCCCGTAAAGGGCGCCTTCTTTGGGGGTGAAACTGAGGGGAACAGTCCAAAACCTAGTGCACTGAAGTGACTGGCCAGAGGTGGCCAGGTAGCCTGATGGATAGAGGACAGCACACACCAGGGTCCTGTTCTCTGCACTCACGCCAGACTCCTGCCTCAGGCTTCCTAGACCTCTGCCTGGTGCCAGGGTTTGTGTGCTGTTCCCAGGAACGAACCCCTGACTGAGAGCAACACACAGTGTGCCTGTTGGGGGAGCTTCCTTTGGCAGCTTAATTTATATAATGATCTCACTTGAGATAGTTACCATCTCTCTGTTCCAAGTATAGACTCCAGGGATGTATTTGTCTGGAACCAATCCCAAGAGCTGGAGTGGGGGGAGGGCTACGGGGGCGGGTTCCCTCTCCCCCTCCTGACTCACATGCATGTCCCTCGGACTTCCCACCCGAGACACTGGGCTGGGCCCGCGTGCGGAAAAATAAGTCGATGTTTTCTCTTGGCATAGCACTGGGATTACACTCCCCGGGGTGCTACAGACGAGCACTTTCTAAGTATTTGTTATAAAACGTTACGATTCGATAAAGGCAGTCCTGCTTGACTTTGACTTTAACCTTGCAGGAATTGAAAGTAGAAATGATGACCTGGAAGTTGACTTTTTAAAAAACACACAGAACCATTTTACGTTACATTAACATTATTCAAAATGATAAGCAATCATTTGGACTTGAGCTTGGCTGGCTTATTTTTACCTTATAAACAGAAAAACAATCTTTGACATTTTTCTCCACTTCTCTTTGCTTTATTAATTTCATGAACACTCATCAGTGCTCTAGAGGCAGCAACCATTCATTAAAGCAATGGATTACTTCGTAGAATTCTAGTAGGAACACTTACCTAACCTAATGCTTCCTTGCAAATTTTTATTAATTCACTTTGTCATCCTCTGGTTAACACAATTCATAGGATTGTGGAACCAGAAGAGATTTTACACATTGTTTATTCTAGGTGTCATATGAAGAGACTTAAAATCCATAGAAGTTAAACAGTTTCCCAAGATCCGTTGTATACTAATTACAAGAGTCAAACCGAAAAATCACGTCTCTCCTGAAGCCAGGCCGGTGCTATTTTTACCATGTGCCGTGTCCTATAGGAAATACGATTCTGCTACATGTCAAAAATCACATCACCGTTATATGGGCAGTACTAGTACCTCAATGCGTAGGTTTATGTGCGCATATACACATTGAGATCTCATTTCTTCTTTTGTCAGTTATACATCACTTTTCTACAAAACAGAGAAGAATCAGAGCAATAAAAGAAATGGCTCGAGTCTTGGTGCCTGGAGGCCAGCTGATGATTTATGTCTGGGCCATGGAGCAGAAGAACCGGCACTTCGAGAAGCAAGACGTGCTGGTCCCGTGGAACAGGGCCTTGTGCTCCCGGCCGCTCTCCGACCCGAGCCAGCCTGGGAGAAAGAAGCAGTGCGGACCCCTGGGACCAGGCGCCCCCTGCCACCCGCCTTGCGCCGTGTGCGGCTGCTCCGTTTGTTTTAAGGAGCGAGGTGACTCAAAACGGTCCCGCAGTGTCGACTATGAGCCTGCTGTGGCCGGAACCTGCTGGGCAAATATTCCTAAGGAAAGCGGGGAAGGAAACGGATTCTATAACACATTAGGGAAGCCTTTTCGGTCCTGGTTTTGCTCCAGATCTTTGGACGAGTCAACTCTAAGGAAGCAAATTGAAAGAGTGAGACCCTTGAAAAGCACAGAAGGTCAGGCCGCTAGCGCTGTATCAGTCCAGCCTTCCAGGCAGGCTGGTCTAGACTCGGATCGCCAGGAGCCCTTAGCAACAAGAGAGCAAAACTTAGACGAGGACGTGTTTCTGGAAACTTCTCAAAAGCATCTGGAGTGGCTGAGAGCACCAGCCACAACGGGACACCTAAATGGAGACCATCCAGGGGAACCTGGGAGAAATGGTCGTGGGAATTTTCTGGATGGCACTGATACCCATGAGGAGTGTGTGGCCGCCGGTGACTCAGGAGAAGGGAACCCTTCTGCTGGTAAAATAGTGAGAAGGATTTCTGCAGCCGGGTCCACAGATTCCATCCCGGATGACACGGTTTCTGTCGGAGGAGGACAGCCAGGCGTTGGGGACTCCAGAGCCTTCATGCGCTACTACCACGTGTTTCGAGAAGGGGAGCTCTGCGGCCTGCTGCGGGAGAGTGTGTCCGAGCTCCAGGTCCTGAGCTGCGGGAACGACCACGGCAACTGGTGCATCGTCGCAGAGAAAACGGAGAGCTGTGGTTGACGGGGCGGTGTCGGACACCTCCGTGGATGACCCGCGTTGGTTTTCACAGGTCTGGGGTGGCTACCTGAATTTGCTTCCAGTTTTCTTTATTTCCTCTTTGTTTAACCCATTTATGTTTTTTTTCTCTAGAGACTATGAATTGGTCATCTTTTTAATTTTGGGGTAAACATGCAACCAGGCACCCGAAGCTTTTCACGAAGGGTATTTATGGTTACAGGTTGATAGAGGTCTAAAGAAGCAATACACAGTGGACCTCAACACGGTTTGGGGTTTTTTCCGCTGAAAGATGAGATTATTACGAGATGACACGTATATTGTTTTTTAGTATTATAAACTGATTTTAAAAGATTCTGTTTTTAAATGTACCTTCTGAAAACAACATTTTGTGAAGTTAGGGGGTAATTTCTGCTTCTCGGATTATATTTTAGATCTATTTGCTGGCCAACAGGTAAACCTCTTCCATTGGACAGATGGAAATTGAACCTTGTGATCGATTATTTTGTTGCCAAGGCCTTCCCTCAAAGTCTTCAGAAAGGTGGGAAACAGAGAGAGAGACAAGAAGTGTTATGGGACTTTTTGAAATGATAATCCAACTTGCCTCAAGATAAGTAAACAACGAGGTTATCAATCTCAGAAGTGTCTTAAGGCACTAATAAGCATGTAGAAAGTGGTCTCTATGGGTATTTGAAGTTGGTATTCTCCTGACCTTGTCAGAGGCAAGAATGTCCAGTTCTGATAAGACCAAGATTGACTAATGAGGAGCTTCCATTTCGAATGATGATTTCCTTACAGCCTGAAGGGACGTGTAGGAAATGGGAATCTGGCCGAAGCTCTGTTTGGACTCAATATAAATAGTCTGCTAAGGGGTAAGACCGTTGGCCTTGGTGGAAGGTCAGTTCTTGAACTTTTAAAATTAACATCCAAGCATTTACCCTTTGGAAAGTAACCACATTTTGTCAGTATTATTGGAGACATAGGCAGAATCATGTCCTATTAGTTGCAGGTTGAATTCCTGCCACTTTATGGACAAATAGATCGGTGTTGTGTGGTCACTGGCTCTGTTTAGATTGATCCATGGGTCTGTTTAAATCTGTGTCACTGATCCTGGAACACAGATACAATTAGGGCGGGGCCAGAGGTCTCAGAGAAGCGGAATATGTTGACCCAGGAAGAACGCCTCAGATTATCTTTGAGGGGGAGAGAACCGACATTGGACAGAAGTCTTTCCACTTTACGGACCATCATAATCCTGGATGAAAATCCAATTCTTGTTCTATTTTCCACTAAAATGAGCTGAAAGAGTGAAAGATTTCACTTGGCTTTGGTTTCTTCTTTCCTTCACCGATTGATTGTGCTCTGACTTAAAATAATAATGGTACTTTCAAAGAAACGTAAAGAATTGGTTTTAATGCTTAGCTGAAAATTAGCAATATTTATAACTCTCCTTTGGGTCTAAAGTAAGCCTGCATCACCCCCTCTGTGGCTGCTGAGGTTGTCTGGTGGAAATGAGACCTGACTTGTGTTGTTCGGTGCATGTTCGCATGAGAGGGACAATGGAGACAGGCATAGAAGTGGGGTGTCAATTAAAAATTAATTTAGTGTCTTCCATTTCTTAAACTAGGACATTAAACCACAAGTGTAAGTGGTTTTGTTGGTGGAAGGAAAAGATTCTCGGGGAAGCTCTTACAGTTAAGGTTTGGTGGCCTTTTTGTTAGGAGTGGGTTTTTTCTCTCTCTGAAGTCAGATGTGTCTTGAATCCCAGCCCTGCTGCTAGAAATCTGCGGGGGGTCTTTCTGGTGGCAGTTTACCACCTACGTAGCACTCGGTTGCCTAGGCTGCTCCAAAAAGGCTTTGAGCCAGTAGCCAGTAGCATGGATGAGCAGCCTTATACACACACATACAAACACACCCTGGTTTGTATAAAATATTCTCTAGCATGGCTCTCGAGGGAGACATTGCCGTGTAATCTGGACAGGGCTGTAGCCTAAAAACCACGCATAATAGCTCTCATTTTTTTCCTCTCTTTTTTTAAAGTTTATTTTATTGATTGTGCTACTACGGTTGTCCCAATTTTTTTGCTCCTGTTTATCCCCCTTCCACCTGCATCCCCCCACCCTCCAGAATCCTCCACGCCCCTTAGTTCATGTCCATGAGTTGTACATATAAGTTTTTTGACTTCTCTGTTTCCTATGCGATTCTTAACCTGCCCAGCTATGCTACTTATTCCCTGTATCTCCCCCTCCATTCTCCTCGTCCCCCTCCCCACAGATAATCCTCCATGTGATCTCCATTTTACTGCTTTTAGATTTTGCTGCTCTATCTAAAGTAATTAGAAAACTTGGGGTCCATCAGTAAAACTTGGGCCCCCCAAACAGTGTCTTTCCTGTCCCTTCTCTTATACCTGCTGTCCCCGAAGAGTCCCACGAGGTGAAGTAGAGGGGAGCATTGAGGGGATTGTGCGGATGTTTTTAAAAACCTTTGCTGTCTCACTGAGGTCTCACTGGCTTATCTGAGGAATTTTACATAAACAGTCAAGTGACTTGGGAAAAGCACATTAACATGGACGAAGGATGCAATCAAAGTAATGCTATGGTGGGAACCACGCAAGAGGCCTATTTAAATTATTTTAAAATTGTCGCAGTAGAGATGAAATGACACCAGCATGTCGTAGCAACTAGCCAACCATCTAACAGACGTCTCAGAGCAGCATTTGGGTCCTCCTTTCTTATCACTCGCCCTTGAGCAGGGCGGTGCGTAATTCGTGTCTCCAGTTTGCCTTCCTGCGTCCTTCCAAATTCTGAATGCCAGGAATTCCTCTGCATTTTACCCGAGCGTCAGTGAAATGGGCAAAAACTAGAGGTAATCCAGAGAGAAAATGATCCAACTGTAAATCGGCCGGAAACATCAATTTACTGGTACGTGAATGGCCACAAAAAGCATAAGCATGGAGGGGTTTTTAAATAAATGAACAAATGGGTTTGAAGGAGGACAGAGGGTCTGACGCAGTAGTTGTTGAACTTTGCAGGGAAGCCTAAATGTGAAGTATGAGGCCCCAGCTGGTGTGGCTCAGTGGACTGAGCGCTGGTCTGTGAACAAAAAGGTCGTGAGTTTGATTCCCGGTCAGGGCACTTGCCTGAGTTGTGGGGCAAGTCCCCAGTTGGGGGTGTGTGGGAGAAGCAACAGATCCATGTTTCTCCCCCCCTTTTTCTCCTTCCTTTCCCCTCTCACTAAAACATAAACAAAACATTTAAAAGGAGAAAAGAATGTGTGCTTGAGCTGCAAGCACCCCCTTTTTAGGAGGCGGGGGATGGGATGGAATCATCGGCTCAGCAGCCAGAGTCTAGGAGGTGCTTATTAGGGCAGCCTGGAGCTTTTCCCTCCTACTGTGAAGAAAATTTGAACTCTATTGGTAACAGCTGCTACCTTTTCCCAAATACCTAACACTTGTTTTACCTGTAATCCTCACCGCAGCCCTCTGAGATAAGCATACGTACTGTTCCCATTTTGCAGATGAGAACAACTGAGGCAGAAAGAATTGCAATCTCCCAATATCACAATCACATCCAGAGCCCGTATCACGTGTGTAGGAAGGGACAGGGCTCAGATTCAAGCCCAGGCAGTCTGACTCCCAGGCACGCTCTCAGCCACAACACCATACCTGGTCCTCCGTCACAGGACCAGACCAATTATAACAGCCTTTCCAGGTGTGGTTGTCCCCTTTACAAATGAGCTTTAGCAAGATTAAGCAATGATTACACAGCTAGACAATAATAGCTGACATATCCCTGACCTATTTCCCCATATTTTGTGTTAATTTTTTCATTTGCAAGTCTGTTTCAGTTTGACTTCAATGAAAAAAAATAATCGTGGTCGCAAAATATTGTGTGATCACTGTTCTCCAACTCTTCAATCCTTTAAAAATCATATTACTGTTCTCCCATTTTCTAGGTGAGAAACTGGAGGGCTATTCAGGCATTTCAGTCCTTTTACTTGTTTACAGAACCTGCAAGTTCCCGGATACAGAGGACGTAAGACAGCAAGTATCAGCTGTGTCGTGTGTACACAGAATATTAGAATTAATCTATAAGCAGGTTAAGGCAGACCGAACACTCACAGGTATAACCTGTGTATGTTTAAACTTACTTATGACTCCGAGTGCCCCGCTGGGACAGTCTTCGTGTTTGTTATACACATAACACCAAGTTATATCGTTTAGTTTGAGGAAAGCAATACACAAAACACCCTAAGGAAGTCACAAGGCACATTAGCATATTTAAGGCCTTGGACTTAAATAAAGTGAACACAGACTTAATTTAGCAAGTTTGCCCGAGACACATTAACATTCTCCAGCACAAGTGCTCTGTGGAACACCTTTCAGCAAATAACGCGTCTGACAGAGCAAACTCACACTCCTTAGGAGGGCGTTCATAAACTGACTCTCCGTTATTTTCGGCTCATCTCCTGCCATTGCACTGTAATGTTTCTGCCCTGCCATCTGCCGTGTTAAACACTGGAATTCCATTAGGTGGAATTCATGAGGAATGTCACAGTTGTGACATTGCAGTTGTCACATCCTCTAGATGCAAACTTGGGTTCCAAATGTCATTGCAGTCATTCTCCAAAGAAAAAGGGCAGAAAACAGGCTTCCTTCCGTCCATTCAAAGGTCATGAGCGATTAAGTGTTACCACACACCCATCCAACAGATGGGAAAACCACAGGAAAGGCCGGGAACTACGCAAGCACCAGCAGACGCCAAACCAGACGCTCAGCTCCTCTCCCCCAACCTTAATTCGGCATTTCAGTGACTGGTTTGGTATTCAAGATTCCGTATGTGCCACCTCGATTATCTACAGAACTGGAGTGAGAATATTTTTAAAAGAACTCTCACCAACCAAGAGCTAAAATTATAATGCAAACAGAAAGCTTTAGGCATGGCATGGAGAACACAGACACACAAACCTAGGAAAAGTAAGCACAGAGAAATGACTAACTGAATCGCCCTGTTTGGGCTTCCCCACTGGTCCCACAGTGTGTGACACAGTGGTAGGGATGGGTGTCATTTCCGTTTTAACACTCATCTGTCTCCCTGTAGCTCGGGGTCTTCCCCACTGAATGCACGCGTAACCACTTTGGGTGGGATCCGAACTATCATAGAATCTGTATGACCAATTCGACGGACCCCTCACTTGGCAATTACATATATACTTTGTGTTTTCTTCAACGAAACCCAAGAAAAGTAAAGATTCCCCAACCCAATTAAATTTTAAGGAATCCCCATGAAATAATTTATTTTGTCTGCATGAAACATTTATTTTTCTTCGGATGTTACCACCATAGAGGAAAGACACTGGCTCCCCACAGTTCATCTGTAGCCAGTGTTGAACGAAGGCTGAATTCCTCGAAGAAGTTATGTTAATATTTATGCTCGCCTAGCAGGGAATTTTGTGGACCGATAGGCATTTCTCTAGTGAGCTAATCCTACTGCTTCCATTAGAGTTTTTTAGTCACATATTCAGTGCATCAGTAAAGAGCTGCCTTTCTACTCTATTTACAAGAAACTGTGGCACTTCTTCAATCCCACTAATACAGACCCCGGTGGAATTTCTGAGACACTTTGAGTATATACGTGAAAACTGCCCCATTTTCTCCAGACAGTCTCTTAAATATGTATGATGTAAATGTATATATTCCTAGACATTTGATGTTGGCTGTTGTCACTGACCAAGAGAAAGCAGCCCTCTTACCCTCTTGTCAAAACATTAAATTAGTGATTACTATAGAGTTGTATTTCATTGAATTGATTTTTTGTTGCTTTTTTTTTAACAGAAATTCAAAGATAAATGTTAAATGTGATTGTGCCTTTTCTGGTGTTGACATGCATTTTTGTTTTTATCAAAAGTACAAAAGCTCTTCATTTTTTCCTACAATGTACAGTTACTTTAGCTTTTCCCAGGAGAAGCTAGCAATAGTTTTAAAAGCACAAATTGATGTAAAATATCTCTACTGTGGTGACATTTAAAGATATTTCATTTGCATCAGCCAACGATGTTAGGATTTTTTGTAATAGTAATTATTAAAATGGTGTCATTTGTATGCTTATGAAATGTATCACATAGCTTATTTAGGTTACACGGAGTATACTCTTCAGAAATGTTACTGGGTGAGCAGAGTTTTGACCTTCGCATCCTGTCTGAGTCAGAGACAGGACAGGTGCCATCCTCTGTCAGTTCAGCCTGTCCCCTCTCCTTATCCATCCACAGAACTGGGCAAATCTGTGTTGGAATTATCTTTGTCTAAAGGGAATCAAACTAGCTATTTAATAATAGACTGCTCTTTAACGGGTTGATAAAGGAATATTGTTGACACAAACTTCTTTTAAGGTGAATAAAGATGTATCGGACAATCTGAAGGTGGCTGTGTGAGAAAATACGGTTCTAATATTGACGAAGCCTTTTCTAGGTACGTGTGCCTCCGGGCCTCCATTATCTTTGCTGACCTTTTCCACCTGCTGGTTCCCAGCTCAGGGTGTGAAGCAGGGCAAGGGGAGGGGTGTGGGCCCTGCTGGGGCTCTAACGGCTCAGCGGGGCTGCCTCCTAGCAGGTGAAGGGGCCTGGCGTGGCGCAGCCCTGACCACACCTGCCACCCATTCCCCGGGATGGAGGAGCATGTTTGCCCCTCACGGGGGCTGCTTGGGAGACAAAAATGAACAGTACTGACAACAAACGAAACAGAGTCTGTGTCAGTCTTTCGGAAAGAATCGATGAAACCTCAGTCTCGTGGTGTGTCCTCGTTGGCAGAAAATCTGTCCGTTTAGAAACACTAGTTATTGTCTTTCAGACTTCCGTCTTTGTAGTCATCTTCCATTTTTGAAATATCAAAGCAGAGATTCAGCTTAAAAGCTATCTGCGTAACAGATTTTCTTTTTGCAGGTTTTATAGTTTTCTACATGGTTGGAATCAGACTGTCAACTTTAGTACTGCCTTATTACTGTACGGTCACTCCCCACCGAGTCCCCGGAAGGTCCCCCACAAAGGTACATCCCTGGCCAGGCTCTGCAGGTACAAAATTGCCAGGGGCTTGAGCAGCCAGAGACCTCGGGTATCGGTGACTCCAAGTTGTCGGACTTGCCCAAACCAGAACCAAACCTGTTTTCCTCCCCACGCCACATTGTTTGTGCTCCTTGGGGAGGCTGTGGCCCTTCGCACCCATCCAGATCTCTGTCCCGCTGCAGCCACCGGCTCAGCCCCCGTCTTCGAGGGAAGTCACCCCAATTCTACTGCTCCACGTCGATTTTCAACTTCTTCCCCACCCTACAGCCCTTTAAATGTAAGGTATTGCTACTTGCAGTATTAGTAATTAAAAACGTTCCTGAATCACCCACGATTGTTCCCTTTATTTTCTCCAATTAATAAGAAAAAAAGAGAGAGTTGAAGCTTTTTGAGCAGGTGCTTCAGAAAGATTACAGAGCCCAGCGAAGGTGTCGGTGGGGACAGGCACTGAGATGTGGCCACAGCGGGGTGGCGGAGGAGACACAGTGAGGAGCGGGGACAGCAGGTGTAGAAATGAAAATAAGGTGCGTGCAGAGCCAAGCTAGAACCAGCTGGAATGGGATTAGGGCCAGGGAGAGAAAACGGAAAAACGGCTCCCACGTCCCCACCTGGCTGCCCGGGAGGCTGCCAAGCCGGCCACAAACTGTGCAGCCCCAGCGAAGGGACTGTGCCCAGGAGGCCTCCCCAGGAAGTAGAACGAGGGCGCCCCCTGCTGGAGAATGAAAACCGCTGCTGAGCTGAACTGTGACGCCAGCTTGGCCCCTGTTCTCGGTTCAAGTCTTTACAGAACCCACCGGTACTGAAGTCCACGCTGATGGTCACTAACAAGTTGGTAACTGGGTAGCAATTCAGACAAATTTGGTTGTGCGGAGACAACTCGAGGCTGTCAGAGCAAGTTGTTACGTCGTCCAGGGCAAAATGTTTCAGAGTCAGAAGGAGTTCGGTGATAACAGAGAGAATTATACTTAAGTGAGATAAGACTGTAACCTGTGGAGGACTAATGAACGCAGATCTTTTGGGAATATTAAATATGTTCAGAGGCCATAAGGGACGGAAACTGGGATCTTTAGCTGCTAATGCTACCTTGGAATAATTAAGGCTATCAACTGTTGCAATATGGAGAATTTGAACAACTTCAAGATATTACATGTGCAATTTGACAAAAACAACTGTAGGAGCCAAAAACTAAACTGAATTAGAGGGGACCGACTCAGGGGGAGAGTCCCAGGGTGTTCTTCGCTAGGTACCCCCCACCACCCGGCTGGGTTTTCCACCTCCGCACCCAACCCCCCAATGCCACATCTGACCCCGTGACATACATTTTCCAGGGCCATAAGGAGAGGGCTGTCCACAGGGGGGAGTCCAGTGCTGGCTGAGTGGTCTCACGATGGTGGGCGGCATGTCTGTGCTCACCTGAGAGTCAAGAGAAGAAAGCTGACGGTGGCCTCCTAGGGCCAACCTACCGCACTGGCCCCATTGCCCTCCAATCTCATCCCTTTCTCCGCTTCCCGCCTTCCTCAGCTTTAACCCTCCTGCCCCCTTGCCATTCCTCAAACATTGCAGGACTCAGGGACTTCGCTCTTGCTGTTCACTGAAGTATAAGCAATGTTCCCTTGGCTTCCTTTCAGCCTCGGCTCACGTTCTCAAAGTGGTTTCCCTGATCAACCCATTTAAAATTACACACCACATTCTTACACACCCACAAATATACACACTCGCCTTCCCCATCTATGCTTCATTTTTCTCCACAGCCCTTGTCACCTTCAAATATCACATTATTTGTATATGTTTTCTATTTTCCCCACCCCTAAAATGTAGGGTGCCAAAAAGACAGATTTTATTTTGTCATTTTGTTTTTTTATCCATTGTTCTAACTCCTACACCAAGGGATTGAGCAAAGAGAGAGAGAGAGAGGTAGGAGAGGGAAAAAAATGAAAATACACTTCAAAGACTAAGGCCCAGGTTCGGGTCAGGTCTGGGCAAACCCGGGATGTGTCTGCACTGATTTTCATCATCGCCACCCTCATCTCCTCACTGTGCCCACTCTGGTTCCTCTGTCCCAGCAGATGTTGATGGTCCCATGCATTTCCAGCAGCCCAGGGACACAAAGTGTGCAATTGGCCATACATCCCCGGGAAACATGTCCGTCCCAGAGAAGTACCTTTCTGGAACCTGGCTCTCTCCTCACCAGGCCAGGCGATCTCATCCATTCAGGTCCAGCTTTCTCATCCACGTCCGTGCCACAGCTAAGGGAAATGCCCCAAGCTCCCCACTAGGCTGAACTTGGACCTCCTCCTACGCTGTTTCATCCCCTGGTCCCTCCCTGTGGCTGTCCATCACCCAGCCTGCAAGTCTGCTTTAAAAACCTTTCCAGGGCTCTCCTTCGCTGGCAGAAGTGGTTCTCAGGCCAGTTGCAGACAAGAAAAGCTTCTGGAGCTTCTAGGATCTACCAGTGAGTAGGAGCCGCTCTGATCTTCCACTTCTGAGTCAGCTCTGGTGTGCAGGGGCGGCTGGGAGCTCGGGGTCCCAGAGCCCCAAGTCCTCCTCTGGATCACAGGCCTTCTTATAGCCGGGCGCTCTCACTGCCCCTCCCCCCACTCTCAGCACAAACCTGAGGATGCTATTTCCTGAAAACACCTGGGCATGTCATGCTTGCACACTGCAGTCAGCCTGGGCCTAACCACTCAAAGCACAGTCCGCTGACCAGCAGTGCCCACCTCACCTGGGAACCCAGAAACACAGAATCAGAATCTGCCTGTTAGGAACAGCCCCAGCTGACATTAAAGCTGGAGAAAGACTGGAGCTTCTTTCTCAGCTCGCATCTCTGAAAAAGTCACGTTCACACTTCGATCCCTCACTCAAGCACCTCCTCTTCCGTGAAGCCTTGCAAGACATCCCCCTGCACTCCCACCCTCTCCTTGAAGGAATTCATTCCCCATCCCCCACGCCACCTAGTTTGTCATATGCAAGAACCGGAACCAACAACATGCCCTGTGCCAGTGTTCAATATTAGGACAAAAATAACCTAGCTGCTTGCTTCAGGACATGCCTGTTGTTAGAAGACAAGACCATGAACCAACTGAACAGCTTACTTACCATGACTCTCTGCTGGGCATCAATAGCAGCCCCAATGCCCTGGCTTCACTGTACCCACCGATCTAGACGAAGCAGTGAAGCCAAAAACACTGCCCAGGCCTCAGCCCACCTCGCCACCCAGCCCAGGGGCATTCAGCCCAGGCCCTGAGGCCATTGAAGACCCTGTCCCCAGTACCTTTTTGGGACCCCAGTTAGCCTATAGAGGTGATGGGTGTTCTCCCTCATTGCAGTAGATCTAATAAACTTTGTTGAATCCACAAGTTTTTCTGTTGGCCTGTGAGACAGTCAACAGGTAACACACTTATCTCAGAATAATGCAATTTTTTGTGTGGCCGATATGTTCCCACTATCATGTCACTTTATCCTTCCTGGGTTCACACACACCCACCCACACGCACACCCGGAACCCACTTCTGGAGGCCTTGCCTAAAGCAAAGTAAGGATAATAAAAGAGAGCTTTGGAAAGCAATCTAAATGAAGAAAGAGATATCTTTGTAGCCTACTGTGACAAAGGAGCAATAAATATTGGCAGGAAGAAAAGTCTCATTGTCTTCTAGCTACTCCACCCTTAGGCCAAACCAAGAAGAAACCTGTTCTCACACTGCCTTCTTCCTGCAGGGTCCTGTCACAGCCTCTAACAACCACACACACACACACACACACACACACACACACACTGCAGACTAGCACACAGAACATCCAAACAACAGAACTAACTGCCTGGAAATCTGAGCTGGAGGCAAGGACAGAGAGGAACAGGAGTGAGGGGAAGGAAGGGCCAGGAAGTGGTTGAGAAGACAAAAAAGCCAAGGAGAAGTTTCTCCTCAGTCAGGACAGAGCCTGCCCTGTGCTCAAGCGGCCGGGGAGCACACAGCACCCCCTCCTCCCTGCCCTTGGCCCTGGCAGGGCTGAGGACCACTGAACTGAACAGGGCAGAGGGGCCAGCATCAGACCCAGCAGGTTCATTTCTGCCTGCACTGGGTTGCCGGGAGGGTTAATAATTTAGTGGGCGTAAAGTGCCCAGCACAGAGGGACCGTGTTATTTCTAAAACAGTGAGATTCCATAAGTCAAGATGTAGAATTTCCCAAAAAGTGTTTCGCAGCCTTAATCACAGACTTCTTAATCATACAATAGACTTCTGAATCATACAATGTATACCCTAAAATAAACTAATTCATGGCTAATTTCTATAATACAGGAAAGTCCAACCAGTCAGTGTGGGGGTAATCATTAATCAAAACCACCGGTCACAACATTCA